AGAGTGTTCCACAAGAGTTTCCTACAAGAGTGACCCACAAGAGTGTCTACAAGAGTGTCCTACAAGAGTGTCCTACAAGAGTGTCCCACAAGAGTGTCCCACAAGAGTGTCCTATAAGAGTGTCCCACAAGAGTGTCCTACAAGAGTGTCCCACAAGAGTGTCCTACAAGAGTGTCCTACAAGAGTGTCCCACAAGAGTGTCCTACAAGAGTGTCCTGTAAGAGTGACCCACAAGAGTGTCCTACAAGAGTGTCCCGCAAGAGTGTCCCACAAGAATGGCCTACAAGAGTGTCCCATAAGAGTGACCCACAAGAGAGTCCTATAAGAGTGTCCCACAAGAAGTGTCCTACAAGGAGTAAGAACCCCAGGGGGGTAACATACATATTTCGGAGGTTAGTAGGTATCTAGCAGGCATCCCCTGCCTCCCCCCCCAACTAGGTATGTATGTATGTATGGTCCAAAGGTACATACCTCAAAATCAGGGGTATGTATGTTTCTGGGGAACATACATACCTAGAAAATGAGAGGTATGTATGGTATGTATGTATGTTTGGGGAAACAAACATACCGAGACAAGAAGAGGTATGTATGTATGTATGTATGTATGTATGTATGCGTGGTCCAAAGGTACATACCTTCAAAGCATACCCAGTATGTATGTATGTCCAGGGAAACATACATACCTAGAAAGTGACAGGAATGTCTGGTATGTATGTATGTCTGGGGAAACATACATACCTAGACAAGAAGAGGTATGTATGTACGTATGTATGCATGGTCCAAACGTACATACATCAAAAGCACGGGTATGTATGTTTCTGGGAGACATAGAAGAGTCATACATACCCAGTATGTATGTATGTCCGGGGAAACATACATACCTAGAAAATTAGAGGTATGTGTGGTATGTATGTATGTTTGGGGAAGCATACATACCTAGAAAAGAAGAGGTATGTATGTATGTATGCATGGTCCAAACGTACATACCTCAAAAGCACGGGTATGTTCGTTTCTCGGATACATAGAAGAGTCGTACATACCCAGTATGTATGTATGTCCGGCGGGGAAACATACATACCTAGAAAATAAGAGGTATGTATGGTATGTATGGATGTCTGGGGAAAGATATATACCTAGAAAAGAAGAGGCATGTATGTATGTATGTATGTATTGTCCGGACGTACAGACCTCAAAAGCACGGGTATGAGTGTTCCTCGGAGACATAGCATCAGGTAAAAAGCGAGGTCTGTGTGTTTCGCAGGGCTCCCAGTTTGAAGTATGTATGTTTCCCAGGAAGATACATACGCATGAGTGTCTCGGTACGCATGTTTCCCACAAACATACATACTCATTATTATCCAGGTATGTCTGTGTCCCACAAACATATATACCTAGGACTTGGAGGTATGTACGTGGTCTGAGAAACATACATACCCGTGAGATTGAAATATGTATGGTTCGCAGAAACATACCTACCCACAATATTCCGGTATGTATGTTTCCCATGCAGATACAGACCGTTAGTTGTTTAATGTATATCCGTTCCCAGAAACACACACCGAGGAGGTATGGGTATGTCGGCCAAACAGAGATTACCTTCAAGTATGTATTTTCCCTGCAACAATCATGCCCTTGACCTTGAAGGCAGTATAAGGAGGAAGAGAGATATGTGGCATTCTCGGGATGTGCGTATACATGAACGTGGACTGTCTCACGCAATGAAGCATGCTCCTCTCCGTGACCTCCCCCCCCAAGGCAGGTATGTATGTACGTATGTATGTATGCATGCGTGCGTGTATGTCTGCGAGGGCCCGTGACCATGGAGGGGGCATTGAAGTATGTCTGTATGAATGGATGTAAGTCTCATGGTGTTTGGCGCATGGGTATTAGACGTGTGTATGACGTAATGTATGTATGTGTGGGGAAACAGACATCGCTAGAAAATGACAGGTATGTATGTCTGTTATTGGTATGTATGTATGTCTGGGGAAACATACATATTACATACCTAGAAAATGATAGGTGTGTATGGTATGTATGTCTGGCGAAACATACCCGGCCCTGCCCAGACCGAGGCGTCGCATCATTCGAGGCAGGGGTAGTAATTGGTTATCAGACATACGTTGCACAGTCGTCGACGTGCGAAGGGGCTCGCTTCGCTCGCCCCGCGGGGGAGGCGCTGCGCCCTCCCCCGCACCCCCCTCCCGCGATTTATGAGTGACACCCCTCACCGCTGCTGCATGTTCGTGACGAAACAGATACACCGAGAAAATTACACGTGTGTATGACGCATGGCTATTAGACATGTGTATCACGTCATGTATGTATGTGTGGGGACACATACATCGCTAGAAAAATGACAGGTATGTATGTCTGCGTGTGTATGACGCATGGGTATTAAACGTGTGTATGACGTCATGTTTGTATGTGTGGGGAAACATACATAGGTATGTATGTATGTTAAAGGTATGTATGTATGACTGGGGAAACAGACATACCTAGAAAATTACAGGTATGTATGTATGTCTGGGGGAACATACATACCTAGAAACTAGAGGTATGTATGTATGTGTGTTAAGGGTATGTATGCATATTTGGGGTAACATACATACCTTGTTTTCGGAGGTTACTAGGTATCTAGC